TGTTTCCATGCTTTAATGTTCAAAAAGCTCTTTATCTTTCTCATACTGCCTGTGCTGCAGCACCTCTTTTCACCCTCTGTCTGAAACCAGAGCCCAGTCTGCTCTGATTGGTTAGCTGGCTGGCTCTGTTGTCATTGGTCAAGCACTTAGAGATGTCCCGCTCCCTTAGCCTATCACGTACAATGGGTTGGAGGACTAGTCAATAGAGTGCCACAGTGACGCGTCCTAAAACCCGGAAGTAAACTCCTTCCGGTTCCTTCGACAAAAAAGCAATGCAATTTCTCCATAGGATTTGGGAAAATAGCTAGAAATAAGATCTGTGGTTGACACACATTTAAGAGACAGATCACGTTTTGTTCAGCCGGATAATATCCACATGTCTACCCTACTTTTATCATTTTCGAATCATAAATCTAGTCGCCAGAAGCAAAATGCTAACGTTATGCTATAAACGAACTACAGCAGGGTCGCTGCTTCAACGTCACGCCAACTTAAGATCCATATTCAAAACTACAGATTCTAAATGGTACAAGTTGAAGCGTTTGTTTGAACAGTTTGCAGGAGGCAGGTACTTGCTTTCAAGCAGAACACGGGGAAAAACAAACTTAGAGGAGTGTTTACGTGTTCGGCGTAATGACGTACAATGGCCTCGACAACTTCTGTAGTCCTATTCAGCCACATGTTAACAACCATCGTTTTTCAGACACGTACTGTAAACTCTTCAAAAATCACCAGCGGGGTCACTGCTGATGTATTTAATGTCGTAGAACAAAACGTGATCCGTCTCTTCAATTTGTGTCAACCACAGACCTTATTTCGAGCTATTTTCCAAAATCCTATGGAGAAATTGCATTGCTTTTTGGCGAAGGAACCGGAAGTGGTAAAATGCTAACTTACTTCCGGGTTTTAGGACGCGTCACTGTGGCATTCTATAGAAGCGCGGGTGTTACATATTGATGTCACTATGTTACGGAAGTAAACAAATGAGTCGAATGAAGGTGTTTCAGGCAGGGGGGAGTTTGTGGGAGAGAAACTCCCTCTGGAGGGACTACGGGGACTTTAGCCTTTGCAGACCATTTACATCCAAAAAAACCTATAGAACACACTACAGGAAGGGGAAATCTCCAAAAGGCAGAATAGGACTCTTTAATCTGTATTAGAACGTCTAAATCTCATTCACATACATGGTAAACAAATCAAACGTACCTTAAAGAGGGAGTAATCACAGCCTGACATGAGGTTGCTTGACAACTGAATATGGTTGTAGAGACTGAAATAAAGAAACAGCAGCATTAACAAAACGGTATTTCCAACACAGAATACAGTGAAAGGAAAGGAGTATGGAGAGATTTATTGCCGCTTACGCCCAGAAATCTTCAACTGTGTCGAACTTGGAGATGAGCCGCAGGTTGGCCTGCCATGTTTTGCTCTTGTCATTCTTGAAGAACCACAGGGACCAGCTGTTGAGGTGAAAACAGAAAATTAATTTGCATAATTGTAACAAGCCCCTCATTAAACACGAGGTAAACAAAAAGTAACCAAAAGCTTTTGATGCAACGTGTGACACAAACTGTTCTATAAATCATGTCATCACTGTCATGGTCAATTAATTGTGAACACTTTGTCATACATACGACGCTGAATCCTGTTATAGCTCAGCAAGTTCTTTATTTTGAGGAATGATAAAGCAAAATGTGGTTGAAGACACTATTATAAAGCCATAAAAGCAGTTAGTCTAACACAGTCGAAAGCACAGTCCAAATAAAGGCAAGAAAATTAAATACTGATACAAATGTAATTCTCTTGAGTGGCATTGTATGAGTACAACAGAACATTAGTTGGGCACATATGACTTAGATTATGACATATTTGTGTATTATTATTAGCTTATTTGACTGTTAAAATATTTAAATGTTTGATTATGGGTTATAATGGGGCAGCACATATTGTATAGTCCATTAGACGGAGCTTTACAGGGTTTCTCTTTGCATTCTAATGCGTGCTGGGATATCCTCATGCACAAATGACCCCATAAAAAAATAATAGGCCGAATTCATATATCCTAATGCTGTTTATCCTCACTAATTTCAATCATTTAAAAAGGTCAACTTGGGGTTATAGTTGCCATTAGAATGCTACTGATGCATTTCAAACGGTCATACTTTTCCTTTAGCTGGCTTTCAAGTTGAGTTTGTTTTTTCTATTTGACCCTTTTTGGACTTAAATATCTCAGTGGAATTTAAATATATATAAAATATTCAATTGTTGCTTATTTGTATTCAACACAGGAGGGACTCTGAATGTTTCGGAGTAAGGATGGAGAAAAACATTGAAAAACTCTAGACAGGTCACCAGACCATCACAGACAATCTAAGTCTAACTGTGACCGGGAAATAAAGTCTGGTAACACCCACAGGAACTGTAGGCACGACATTATAATCATTAAATGGCATATTTATACATAATAAGTAGCTAAAACCAAACGAAAACGAAATAAATTATCAAAATGTAATTAGTCTTATATATTTATTTTCATAAAACTTTACTTATACATTTGAAAACTGATTTTTGCTCATGTTTATTCAACAATATGTAGCCAGTGCACTGCACAGACAATACTAAGACTAGATTAAGTTGTGTGGAAGACATATCAATCCGTTTTTAACTATAATTAGAGATCCTTACATCACATTTTTTTTCCCTTGAATTTGATTTATACATTCAGTTTTTCAGCTTGACATTGATCTAGTTTCCATGTATTCACATTTGGAAGCAGCCCATTTAAACCAGTAGGTAAACAGATAAGTTTACCTATCAGGGCCAATATACAGCTCTGTACAAAATTATGAGACCACTGCAGATTATCAGTTTCTCTGGTTTTGCTATTTATAGGTATGTGTTTGAGTACAATTATTATTTTATTTTTTTTATTCTATAAACTACTGAAAACATTTATCTGTGATGGAATTCAACTAACATTGGAATGGAATGGCTGCCATATATGAAGAGATTGAGGTTTAAGAAAGGTTGGAGTGGTCTCTTTTTTCCAGAGCTCTATGCTAATTCTCCATTTTGCCTCATAAGTGAAAGTCCAAACAAATATCAAATGTTTATTTAAATTACATTCTGACCTACATTTTCAATCAAAACCCTGTACATATACCAACGTTTTACAGACAAAACATTAATATTGTATTCACAGTTAATCAGTCAATTATTTCATTGATTAACCAACTGTTTTTACATCAAAAAACTTGTGAAAAATTCCCATGACAAGTCCTGAAAGCCCACTGTGATGTCTTTAAACATCGACAGTTCTTAGCCGATAAGATATTTCATTTACAATTATAAAATGTTGAGAGAAGCAGCAAATATCTAGATGTTTTTGCTTGGTTTTAATACAAAACAGAATTAAATATTGCTGTTGTTTCCGCTTGTTCTGTAGCACTCACACTAGTTGATTCTTTAATGTCACAAAGTTATTACCAGTGTACTTGTTCAGGGAGTTCTTATTTGACATTATAACTTAATACGTGTGTGTCTATCTCATTTTAAATGCAGAGCAAACCTGTTCTGGAGGGGGTGTTTGATGTAGGACTCTGGGTTCACTAGCTCCTGTCCCGTCTCCTCAACTCCATCTTCATCAGCATGGGGTGCACTAGGGTTGATTTCCTAAATAAAAAGAATGGTAAAGGTGAAATGCATGGGAAGTGGCCGAGGCATTTTGATTTATATTCTCGTTGCAAATGACCACACAGTATGTTAAACTGGAGAGACACTCCTGTAACAGTCACATGTAACTACTCTTTTCCCAGTTATTGATTACATAAGGCAGGGCAACTAAATGCTGTTAGACGTAAATACAAGTCAACATTTTAAAAGAGCCAACTAAATAAAACAATATTGTTGTTTTTTTAGGCTGGGGTTTTGACCTCAGAGGGATTGGCAGTCTTCTGAATACATTTTAAATATGGTTAAAAACATTTGTTTTAAAGCCGTGACATCAGCGTTTACTAGTGAAACCCGATATGAACATCTGTTACACATTTCACTGCTATGAGAAGCTAGTTTGGCTAACTAAAGTAGACTCTACAGCTAACATTGCACACTTATGATTTTTAGTTACGATTGTATTCAGTCCGAATATGTTTGTTTGATAAACGAAAAGAACACAACGCAATTCCCATTCATATAACGCTACTCATCTGCCATGTTAAGTTTCGCTGACGTTACTTGATTACTTTGTACAAAAGTTCCGCTATGGCATGACCTTACAACCAACCATCTGGACACAGTCTTGAATTCGGCTTGCAGTTCGTTTACCACATGTTTTATATCAATAAGAAAAACACTTTTGAAACTACCACTCTATCTTTCCATCATTTAGCATTAGCCAAGTTAACATTAACCTCAACCACCAAAGTGGCCAACGCTGCATAGTAGAGGTCAGCATCGAGCCCTGTCAACCAAGTTTGACAGCTTAATTTTACCTGCAAAAACCCTATTGTAACTTGAAATGTGGCTTATATTACACGCCGAATGTACTGATATCTACTAATTATTATACCTGTTTTGAATAATATTGACTCAGGTATGTACTTTTATGCAGATAACCTAGGTAATAGCAAACTCATTCGTAAATGAAACGCGGTTTGGCTCTCCTCGCTAACTTGAACGGCACGTCGGTTAGCTGTAACGTCAGCCTTAAAGTAGGGAGATCTCCACACACAAGCGTTCGTCTTATACGCTCATGGCACAGAAGACAAACTTGAAAAACTAGTCCTAACAGCACGTGTCATTGTAACAACTATCAATATACTTTTGGAAACTAATGTTTAAAGTTATACATAAACTTTAACTGTAATTTCGCCCTGTTATAGCGGCCAGAAGCCCCCGAAACGTTTTGATATGTTCTTTAGAGAAAGTGCTCACCGGTTCGGCGGTCGCCATCTTACAAATCTCTGTTGGAAAAGTTTCTGTCTCATTGGACCGGGCAGCTCAACGTGACGGTCCGCCGCGGACATGCGCTGTGTGCCGGCGCTGTCTGGCTGCTTCTCCGCGACTCCACCCCTCCTGCAGACGAAGGCATGGCGAGCACCGAAGCTAGAAGGGAGTGTGAGACTGAGGGCTGCAGCGAGGACGCCAAACTCCAGTGTCCCACATGTATCAAGCTCGGTATTCCAGGTTCCTATTTCTGTTCACAGGTACTACTGCTTTTTCGAATTGTCCGGTTTAAACGTCCGCTGTAGCGTCTCAACGAGGCCCTCTGTGTCATCACGAGGCTGCTAACTGTCAAGCTACGTACACATGGTGCTTCGTTAACCGCTAATAACGTATTTGTTATACGTTGTGGTTTCCCCTTTGGCTGTGAAATACTATACAAATGGCAGTATACATACAGTCATTGATTGTAATTGATGCTTAAGTTATACGTTAACTGTAGGCCGAGGGAGCTAGCTAACTATTGGCTGATTAGCTAAAGTGAGCTAAAATAAAAAGCGTTTAGTGGGGTGTTTTTTTGCTGACAGGGGCAACTGTATTGAATACTGTATTGTGCGTAGGAATTTAACATGTATAGTTATTATCTAGCAATAAACTGCAAGAAATTACAAGTGACACAGAGTTAATGTTGCGTATCAGAGCAGTCAGTGTCACGTTGTTTGACCCTCACCCTGGTACTTGTCCCCCTAGACCAAACCCCATTCACAATTCTGTCAATTTAAAGATGGGTTTCTTTATCCAGACTTTATACTCTGCTGATACCCTAAATGGCTTAACAGAAGCTACTTTACACTTCCTTTGGATCTGTTCAGCTGAGCAGGATTTTGTCTAAGCAGTATGATAACTTAAACTACTGTCAGATCTAATTTGACTACAGTTGTACAAGCAGACTTGTAACAAATCACATTTATATCATATCCATAAAGATGCTTGATACCTTTCTTATTTGTGCTGATCCTACATTGGACATGTCTGTCAATAAAGCCTTGAATGTTAATATACAGCAATTGCTCTGTCTGCAGAAGTGTTCTGCAATGTTCTATTAGTCAAAAGCTTTATAAATAGTAAGGTTGGGGGGCAGTTATGCCATGGTATGTGACCATAGAGTTTTAGCTTGGATTGCATTTTTGTCTGCAACTCGACCATGTTATATATATATATATATTTTTTTTCTGTCTCTCTATCTGCTGTCCAATTAAAACACCATTGGATCTAGCAATACATGTTAAGGTGCTCATGTACGTTTGTAAAGTTCTTTGGGCACTTTCTAGAGTGCAATATCTGTCACAAAATGCAACCAACGTTTTTGTTGAGGTTGAATTGGTTTTGCATACTGTATCAGCTTTTTTACATCCCCATTTAAAGTTTAATCTGTGTTTCTATTCCCAGGAATGTTTCAAAGGGAGCTGGGTGTCTCACAAGTCGCTGCATAAAAAAGCAAGTAAGTACTACAGATCATTGTCTTTTCTGTACTGTGAATCTCCCTCGTACTTAGTTGAGGTTTTAAAAACTAACAGTTGAACATTGTAGCATATACATACATATTACTGTGAACTAACACAATGGTGCCAGATGCTTGAGATACCTTCTCCTGTGTTTTGTTAGAGGACGACAAGAACCAGAATGATTCGAAGAACTGTGTGGAGAATGACATCAACACAGACCCATGGCCAGGCTACCGCTACACAGGAATACTACACCCTCACTACCCACTGGTAAGTTGCTGTTAAAAAAACGTATTTATTTTGCGTCTTTTGCCATGTATGATTCCTTAAATGGAAAGAAGTCTCAAGTGCAGACATGCATTAGCAATGCCACCCTTGTCTCCAACTTCTTGTACTCGGTGGTAAACTGATCTGCTTCTGGGAAGAGACATTTTAACTTTTTAATGTTTTAACACACATTTTCGTAACCTTGATTTCTCTACCGTGACATAATTGTTCACCTTGTTGGTTAAAAAATACCTGTTCAAATGTGTGGTTTCATGCCTTGTAGTCATTAATTACACAACCATAAATGTGAAACCATGAAAAATCCATAATATGATCTAACAGTAATATCTGTCATCTTGGATTTCATTTTATTATTATTTTTTTTTATATCCAATCTTCTCCTACAAAAAATGAAGGACAGCACATGTGAAAACAGAACTAGATTAGATTTTCATTTGACTTTTCTATAACTAATCTGTCCTCTTCTTGGCCCCTGTCGCAGACTCCCATGAGGCTCGTGCCTGGTGACATCCAAAGACCTGACTATGCTGATCATCCCAGAGGTAATGGTGCTTCTCTTCAAACAAGGACATTTGTTTTTTGTGGAAACTCACATTGTTTAATATAAAAAGCAAAAAAAAACAGTATTTTAGCATTGTTTGTTACTATAGAAATGTATATGAACAACACAAAATCCTTGCTATGTAGTCTTACATATTATTTACCTGGAAGCACAGCTAAAACAATCTGGCATCTGCAGAAAATAAAATGTCATGTGAAAATGCATGCAGAAATGTAAAATGATGGTATTTACATTCACCCGATGCTACCTTATTCCACTGGCAAAGCTCCCCTTTGACATTCACACTGCAGTGTAATTACAGAGGAAAGCCATTGTTATCCAAAATGCTGTGTTGGCACAGGGCAGACTTATGGCGCATTTCCATTACAGTTTAGGAACTGGGGTAGTATCTATAGTAACGCAGTGTAGGCGGAGCCGTGACGTCGTCTTCAATGAGAACCCCAGAAAAACAACACAGCCGTTAGCTGTTAGCACTCAGAGCTCACAGCTCCTCATATATGTTCAGAAACTAGACAAAAGTTAAACAAGTACAAACCACAGACTGTCTGTGTCATGGTGAATACAGTCGCTGCTTTATTTATGTCTGTATAGGCCGTTGTTGTGAGTGTGGACGGTCGGAGCATATACTGCGTTAGCTTAGCCAATCTCCATTTAGAAAACACGCATTTTAAAAGGTTTTTCGCCTGCCGTCTGTCTGCAGACTTGACAAAGCATTAATTCATGGTTTTTACTAACCGGTATCAGTATGTTGTTACTTCGGCATCATTTTGAAACGTGTATTACAATTAAATCACGGTCAAATATGTCCATCTTGTTGTAGTTGTAGCCCCCTTGCCAGCGATGCTCCCTCTAGTTTAGCATACTCAGCCCGACTCAGCCTCGTTGTCTCTGGCCCTAGACCCACGATTTTATGAGGCCAGAAAAACTGTGAATTAGGACCCGCCGGCCGGTACTAGGCCAAGTGGAAACGCAACCAAAGACGGGCCGCTGACGTCACAGCCCTCTTAAACCGTGCTCCGCGCTATAGTGGAAACGCGCCATTACTGCCCCCTGCCATAGTTGGTTGAAGTTTTGTGAAAGTGCTGCAGTGTGTGTTAGGGATGTCCCGATCACCTTTTTTTGCTCCCGATCCGATTCCGATCATTTGATTTTGACAATCTGCCGATACCGATTTTTCCCGATCCGATCTTTATGCAATGCATTAAGAGGAAAAAAAAGGTAACAGATAACGGCTGGTCATCCAACGCGATGAATTCAGCTATCTTGGCTGTTATTTTTTTGGCCTTTTCACTGTTCTGGGGTAGTTTCTCTTTCCTTTTAAAAGTCTCTGAAAGTGTCGGTTGTTTCAGTGCCGTTACCTGAGTGGCCGCTGTGTACTCGTCGTGTTGTTGTTGGTGGTGTTTGTATTAGATTGGTCATGTTGAACGTAGCTCTGTTCTTTCCACCACGCGGAACCTCCGCCTTGCAAACATTGCATCTGGCTGTTACACTGCCTTCGCTTTCAATTTTATAATACTTCCAAACTCCTGACATTTTCTCTGTCCCGACTCCCGAGTCACCAGCTGAACGTAGCCTCTTGTTAGCTTACTGCTACTATTAGACACTGCGCCCACTCTGTTGCCAGATTTGAGAGAAATAAGCAACCAGGTCTATGAAAACAAGCCCAAAAGAAGCAACACATACATGATGTTGTGTAATTTTAACCCAAAACTAAGGCCTCAGGATGACTTTAAGACGTGAACATGGTCATTTTTGTTTTGTAACATTAAATAAAATGTATAAAAATATTTTATAAAAAAAAAAAAAAAAAATCCGATCCCCGATTTTTTTCTCCCGATCCCCGATCACGTGAAAATCACGTGATCGGCTCCGATCCCCGATCACGTGATCGGATCGGGACATCCCTAGTGTGTGTTGGTCAGCCTGTCTAATTTGTTAGCGCTACAGTTCGTGCTTTTGCTAACATTAGTCACAGAGTGGTTATTCCGTATCCTGCAAAGATTTGTCATAAAATCCAAAGATCTCCCAAACTGTTGAAGGCCTCTCTCACTGTTGCCCCTTTCACACCAACGCAACTCCGGTTCAAGCTCCGTGCTAGAGCTTTTCAGGTTCAGAACCGGTACTTCGGTTTAGCTCCGGCTCTTTTCACACCGCTCAGAGCCCGACTGGTGCTGCCGCTGCTGCGTCATGACGTCACAGTTTACGTCGCTGATTTTCTCCCCAACGGAGCTCACAACAACAACGGGCCGGGGACTGCGTCGGGTCGATGATCGTGTTGCTTTTAATCATACGAAGCCAGATTAAATTAAATAACGACTTCTCCAACCTTATATTTTTCTCCAGAGTGCCGTGGTTCATTGTTTATTAATGTGTTTCAGCGGCATGTACCGACCGCTGCAGTGCTGGCTGCTCTTCCACGGGAGTGTATTCTCCCGTTAGCTCCGGGTTAGCTCACACGGCTCTAAAGTATTTACTGTCTGACTGTCACACAAGCAGCTGATACATATCCCCAGTTCCCCTTAAGTGAATGTGTGTCAGTCTGAATTGACGCTGTTTGGCATCACAACGCTGTTATGAAAGTTTCTCTGGTATAACATGGGCGATGTTAGCATAGCAACCGAAGCTAAACTGACTACTTGCTAAGCCGTTTTATACAGGCACTTTTTACCGGCGTATTTTTCATTATGATTCTACTTGTGATAGTCGGACATGACAACCTGTGCAGCCCATGTATTGATTCCATCCGATAGCTGCTATAATAACAAACAAAACGTCTGCCTGCTCTCCACAATGATCAATAACAGCGAACGGATGGTCAAAGTAAGGTACAAATAAACAGAATCACACGAAGCCTGGTTAGTGTTGCCTGACTTTATAAAGCGTGTTTTTTTTTTTACAAGTGTGTGGTTGCGTTCTAGTCACTTTGCTCAGCACTACTGCTGGTTACAACTTTTATTTGCCGTACTCGCCTTAACTGTTAGCTCAGGTTAATCTCGCCCCCCTCCGACGTAAGCGTGACGTATGCGGTTCTTGCTTCTCGACGGACAACTTTTTGGTGCTCGAAACAAACCGGATTCCGGAGCTTAGAGGCTGCTCTGCTGCGGTGTGAACAGGAAAACCCGGTGCTTTTCAAGCTCCAGCTCCGAACCGGCCCTGAAACACCGTTGGTGTGAATGGGGTATGTGTGACAATAGCAGACAAAGCAGTAATGCATGCATGGGTTGTCCTGTAACTGTATGAAAGGTTTTGCATCACTTCACAGATAAGCTGATATGTCTCGTGCTGTACGCTAAAGATCTCTGTGCACGTCACGTGACTTGAATTTCGAATTGAGCCGTCCCTTATAGATACTATCTCTTTACGTATGCACACCAGGCTTGGATTTTTGTCATTTTAGGGGCAAGGCCGTTTGGCCTTTGGTGTCACACATTTTTTCAGGGCGCAAAGGCCTCATGCCAGGGCACAAAGGCCATTGAGGGAAACATTTGGATTTGGAGCGTACAAATAAATAACTTCACTTTCTGATAAGAAAAAAACACGAATGACATGGAAAACAAATCACTTTTTTAATGTCAAACATTATATCATCATATAGGCCTATGCCTCCTTAGTATTACCGTATATGAAATACTTTACTTTGAATAATTAGTGTTTGGTATGTTTTCCATCTACTACTTCTCCCATTCACAAATCCAAAATCAAATCAAAAAATCTAAAATTCTATTAATATGTATATGTATGTATCAAACTCTGCACATACATCATTCAGCAGTGCACAGTGAAGCTCCAGTGTGTGTGTGTGTGTGTGTGTGTGTGTGTGTGTGTGTGTGTGTGTGTGTGTGTGTGTGTGTGTGTGTGTGTGTGTGTGTGTGTGTGTGTGTGTGTGTGTGTGTGTGTGTGTGTGTGTGTAGTGTGTGTGTGTGTGTGTGTGTGTGTGTGTGTGTGTGTGTGTGTGTGTGTGTGTGTGTGTGTGTGTGTGTGTGTGTGTGTGTGTGTGTGTGTGTGTGTGTGTGTGTGTGTGTGTGTGTGTGTGTGTGTGTGTGTGTGTGTGTGTGTGTGTGTGTGTGTGTGTGTGTGTGTGTGTGTGTGTGTGTGTGTGTGTGTGTGTGTGTGTGTGTGTGTGTGTGTGTGTGTGTGTGTGTGTGTGTGTGTGTGTGTGTGTGTGTCCGTCCTCACAGCTGTTCAGAAACTGGACAAAAGTTATACATGTACAAACCACAGCTGACAGCCGCGGTGAAACTCCAGCGGTTAGTGCAATGCGAATATTCGCATCGCGTCCGTTGTGAACGCAGCATAATGCAGTTCAGAAACCACTGTTCTGACGCTTTTAAAGCAACTTCGAGATTTTAACAGTGTGAGGGGCCCAAAGGCCATGGTGGCCGTAGGACGTACGATTATTTGTGGGGCATAACCGCCAGACCGAGGGGCTACGACGGCCATGGCCGTCATGGCTGCCGTGAAAATCCAACCCTGATGCACACACACATAATTTTGAATTGCGCCGTCCCTTATATATACTATCTCTTTACGTATGCACACACACACAATAGACAATACTAACGTTTGTCAATACATGATACATCATTTACCTAGTATCAAATCACCACTGCCGACAGGGATACCCCTCCTGGCATGGTCCTTGGAAAATGCGGCGGTGTTTTTCCGCTAGAAACTTGTCCAGGGCTCTGTAGAAGTCAAACTGTTAAAAGAACGCACGCATGCGCCAACGTTAAGGCTCGCTGGCAGTACACTTTGTTCCGTCACAGGAACACGCTTTGCTGGCGGCGGAAAAAAAAAGAATCCCACCAGACTCTTTTGCCCCTCCAACAAAGGGATGTCCTTGTCCTTTTTCCTTTTCGTCATCTCAAGCGATAAAAACTCGCAATCTTCTCTCGAATATTTTTTTTTGGACGCCCTCGGCTCGAGTTCAGGGCGTTCCGAGCTGAATAAGGGCGTCAAATGACGGCAAGCCGCCCGCCT